CCCCCCCCCCGGGGGGGCTGCCCTCCCGCCGCCCTCGCCCGGGGCTGGCTCTTCTGCAGCTTGAGCCGGATTCTCCCTTGATCTTACTATTATCCCCCATCGCCCCCTCCCCGGGAATGGGATCATCTCCCCTCTCCCACGCAGTCTGTGCCCCCAGGGCTGGGGCTCTTCTTTGCCCCTTCTCTTCCCCCCCCGGCCCTGGCTCTGGAGCCCAGGTGCCCCACGACCCGTCCCATCGCTGTAGGGTCTGGGATCTTCTTGGGGTGTTCCCCTGTCAGCTCCCCCTTTTCCTTCCAGCCTTGTGTCTGGGATTCTCCTGTCCCTCCTTCCCCGTCAATTCTCCCTCGTCTGGGATTCCTGTTGTAACCCGTTTTCCTTGGTCCGTGCAACTCTTCCCCCTTCTGTCTTCCCCAGCGTGAGCTTTAAGGTGTGGACCTCTCCAAGACCCTCTTCCTTCCCCGGGATTCGCATGGCAGCCTTGCCGGGTGAGGGCCCTGCTTCCCTTTGCTTCCCACCGCCGAGCTTTGAGCGCCCTTTTCCCTGCAGGTCTGTGAATTAGAGGGAAGAAGAGAGTCGGGAGCCTCTCCCGTGGCTGTGTGCTGACGTTCCCTATCCCAGCGGCGTTCAGCCGGTGGTTTGCCCGTGTGACGGGCTAGAAGGGTGACCGAGGAGGCATCCTCGACTGCTGTCGTTAGGTTAAACGTCGGTAATAATAAGCGTTTTGTGCCGTTTGTGGAGGCTTTCCCGGTGTCTGCTGCTGTCTCAACCCTCGTGCTTGGGATCTCCCAGCCCTGCGGAGCGAAGCTCGTATGATTTGGGCGACGTTAAAGGTGAGCGTGGGGAGGAAAGGAGGATCCCTGCTCCGGCCCGATCTGTCTGGGGCTGCTCGTGCCAATAACGAGAAAGCGAGTAAAGTAAAACGGCTGAGCCTGTGGTTTCTCTGGGTCTGCCTCTTCCCTAAGGAGTCTCGTGGTTTCAGAGGTCAAGCTTGAGAAACATTCACGGGGTCTCCTTTTCTTAGAAAGCTCTGTGGCCCCTTAAATGCAAACTTGTGGGTTTTTTCGGGATCAACCATTTCCCGAAACCTAATTTGATGCGGTTTTTTTGCTTTTGTGAATTAGGGAAAGAAGACAAGGTAGGGGTAGGCAAGCATATAGGTGACGACGCAGGCAGGCGTAGGAACTTGAGCTGGGCAGACAGTTCCCTAGCTTGTTGGTTTAAAGCTGAGGAGGTTTCCTACTTGTGCTGTACCTGCAACAGGTAAACGCGTGATAAAGTTAGAGAAAGTGGAGGCTGTTTGGGGTTTTTTTAAATGTTTTTTAGATGTTTTTTATCTTTTTAAGAAGGAGGATTCTTCTCGTGCCGTAGCGCTTTCAGTCCTCTGTACGTAATTCCTTTACTTCAACTCGATGTCGGGACAAAAAAAAAAAAAAAGGCAAAAAGCTCATTTCTTTCGAGGAAGGCAGCAGCGAAGAGGGCTCCGCTGGGCGATCCTTGGCCGTTCCCGGGGGCCGCGGTTTTCCTGGGGTCCCCCTCGGTTCTGTGCTCTGCACGGCTGCACCTCGTCGGTGAAAAACCCCGCGGCTGGGAGGAGAGATCAACTCTGCAGGCTTGCTGGTGCTGGAAGAGGCTGTTGCGGGGGTGTTAAGTACTCCACCACGCTCCGGCGCCGCGGGGCTCCAAGTATTGCATCAGAGGCGCCCGGTCGTGCGAGAGCCCCCGGAGGAAGCTCAGATCTGGGTTTCTTGTACGGTCCTTTTTATTTAAAAAAGGGAAAAAAAAAAAAAAAAAAGAGTTCAGAAGCGAGGAAGAAGGTTAAAGCGCATATTTTACTGGCCCTGTGATGGAAAGAATCTTCCGCCCCGCCCGAAAGGAGACACTTTGCCACTATTTTGAGTTCCCGACTTCTTCCGGCTTACGGCAGCAGGTCCAACGGAGGCGGGCGTGCGCCTCCCAATGGTGAGCGCTTGGCAGTCAGCGCCACCGGCGTGCGGGGGGACCGCTGCTCGTCTGGCTCCGGAGGAGCTCAGCGCCATGTGGAATCACTTACCCTTCTGTATTTAATATGCAAGTCAGATGTGCTATCGTATACACAACGCCGGGATACGGGGTTGCGCTCCAAAGCAATAAACAGATACGACTGGTGGTCAGAGCAGGCTCTGCTTTGTGTCTCCCAGCTTCTCTTCGTCTTTTCTCGGAGTGGCAAATCCAAAGGGTAAGCCTCTGGCAGGAGCCGCCCCGTGTGGGTTAAGCCGTGCTCTGTAAATCTGCGGGTCTCCCCCACGCAGACGGGTGACAAAGGTTTTCTAGAAGATCAGCGTTTCCAGTTCCTGCCCTCAGGAACGCAAGCAAACAGATAAAAAAGGTACCGGCTGATGCCGATAGCAAGAGTTCCGGAGTTTTGAGCTGGGAGGGAGACTTGTTCTGCTTGCAGGCACTTAAAATAGCTTTCTTTACGTGTTGGGTTTCCCGCTAAACGCGACCTCGTGTGCGGTGCAAAGAGTACGTCGCTTCTTCAGCGTCTTTACCTGCGTTCAAACCATCCAGTCGTTCTCTCTGCCCTCTCCCCGGCCCGAGCGCTGCGCTGCGTTTCGTGCTCCGTACGGGATTAAAATCCTTCGGGGTGCAGGAGGTGTCCCTGCCTTCTCGAGGACCGTCCTCTCGCAAGCGCGAGACATAACGGGATTTAGGATGCTTTCTGAAAAGCAAACTTCACTCCTCCCGCCTCCTTCCCCCTCGTCGCTATTTCGTGATTTACTGGGAGGAGGGGGGTGAACGAGCAGGCTGCAAGTCATCGATCCAGAGCAAATTCAGACTAAGATTTCACTTTGGATTCAGCACGCTGCAGTGCCCAGCCGGTGTTCGTCTGCTGAATACGACGTCGTGCGGCGTTGTGGCTGGAGCTGCGCTGGGAAGGAGAGGGTAGACGGGCAGATCTCTGTTCGTAGCGACGCGGTTTGCTCTCCAGCCCTAGAAAAGCGTATTGTTCTGAAGCATTTGTAGAGTTTCAATGAGGTGTTTTACTCCCTCGTCTCCTAAAACCGTCCTGCCTGCGGCAGCTGGGAGCATTGAACCTAGTCTGTGAAGAAAACCTCTTTTGGATGCTTCTCAGCTGTCTGACCTATTGCTCCAGTCGCTAACGAAGCACCCAGCCGGTGTCCGGCCTAGAGGAACCCTTGTCTTGGGCTGAAAACGCAATTCCGTGCCCGTGCACGTGTTGCGTGGCATTTCCTCGTTGACCTGCTCTTGACGCCAGCTTCTCAGACTTCACTAAATTCAACCAAACTAGAATTCCTCTTGAGTTTTCAGAGTAATTCCGTGCGTCGTGGGAATTTGCGTTGCCTGACGTAGCTCGGCTTTCTCTGCAGTTTCTTGTGTGGTCGCTGCTGCGAAGTCGTGCGTGTCCCTGAAGCCGTTATTGAATCGGGCATTGTCTCCCCAAATCCGTTGGGGATTATGCGCATGACTTACACTGTCCCGGGGAAGGGAATCTGCCCGGATGGATGGGAATTCTGTCTGGGTATTGGTGCCCTGGAGAACTGGCAGGGAACCGTGTATTGTTTGTACGGCTTTTTGTTAGTCTTCAGTGGAAAATTGCCCCCGTCTCGCATGTTTCATCAAAAAAAAAAACCCCAACCCAACCCCAAATTAAACTTGAAAACAATCCAAAGCGACTGCTTTATGAACAAATGCCCTGAAAAGCCTGTGGTTGAAAGAGGAGGGAAATGCTTCGCGAGGAACTACTGTGCTAGTGACTCCTCGCCCGGCTTCATCTTACAGAAAGCAATAAAACAAAGTAAAAGGCTCGAGCTCGCTCTCTTCCTGAAAGCCGCCTGGCTGCGGACCTGAAAAGCCACAGCACCGTGTGGGCAACCGAAAAGCTAAGCCGGGGTGGCTCGTGATGGACTCGGCATCTCGCACTCGCGCGCGGCCTCAAATTCACCTCCCTTTTGTGTCTTACCCCGGGAGACTTTGAGAAGAGCAGCCTCGTCTCGCTCGGTGCTCTGCCTCGGTGCTTGCTGCGCTGCGTACGGCTCCTCACGGGAGAGCTTGCGTGGGGGTTTGGGGGTATTTTTCTCGTTTTGCTTGAAAGGAGAACTCGGGGGTGGAGCCCTTTTAACAGCTCTTGCGTTAGCGAGGGGTTGCTGTAATCTGTTTTGCAGATCGCCTTGCTTCAAAGCGATCGCTGAGATTCAGAAGGCTCAGAGAGGGAGCGCTGAGGAAGAGCTGAGGGCAGGCTTTTCCTGCAGCTACCTGTCAAACTCTTCAGCGCAGGAAGAAGCTTGGAGCAAATTCGATGGGAATCGGAGCGTTAGACGCTACGAGGGTCATTTTTCTTGCCCAAACCTTGACAAGGTAAAGGGTGGGTAATCAAAGGAAGTCCTCGCGGCGCTGGGGGTTCAAAAATGAGGAGAGAGACCGGACAGCTGCCTCGTTGCCGCAGCACCTCTAGTTCTTGCATGCCTATTGAAATGAGACGAATTTAATCTCGTGGATTTGGGCCGCAAGCTGATTGCCGCGAGGGCCGTGTGCATTGGTTGGCTGTGCACGGTGTGGACTAGCTGCTGGGTCCTTAAAGCTGGGTAAGTGCTCGAACCCCGTCTAGCAAATTTGGTGCTCCGGAAGAGGTGCCTGCTTAAAAACGACTTCTCCTGAAAAGACTGCAGTTACCGAAGTCAACGAGGGCTAACGTCGTAGGCTCTGGTTTCCTAAGCGGGATGGAAAAAAGCACTTACTGTAACAAAGCTAACCCTGGTCTTAGCCTGTGATTCACCGTCAGGTTACACATCGTCATTGTCCCCCGTGCCGAACGGCACAAACGAGGTTCTCCGAGTAGATGTTTCCATTCTCCTCTGTGCTGTTGTTGCACGCTCTCGATGTGGCAGTCAAATACTCCCACCCAAATTACAGGGAGTTCTGCCAGAGGGCCTCAGCTGGGTAGCTTTACGCCTCAGGTCGCTTCTCGTGTCTCCGTCGTGTCGTTCTGAGCTGGGTACGCGATGTTCAGCATAAAGGCAGGTGGTTTCTGCGGGTCTGACAGTGCACGCGCAGGTCAGCTGCCGTGTTTTTATCTTAAATGTAAGAATGTCAATATTGAGGATCCGGTGAGGCAGGTGGGCAAACCCGCTGAGCCTGTTGACAGCCCTCTTACGGAGGAAAAATGCCTCGCTGCCCTGCTGCTTTGCAGCCTTTTTCCAGTCCTCTTCTGAAAGCTTCTCCCCAAGTCTGCTGGAACGAGAAGAGCTTTTCCGTAGGAAGCTTTGGTTTATCACCCGGCGGTTCTCCTTAGGTTCCTCTCGCTGGGAGAGGCGTGTTTGTGTTGACATCGTGCACCTACAGCTTCCCTTGAAGCCGAGGGTTTTTCATAGGAGACATAACTGAGCTCCCTGGGCAGGGCCCTGCTTGCGTAGGCGGGAATACACCGACATTTATGCTGTTCTGTTTCTGGATGCGGCCGCTCCCGGCGGGTGATACCTGAGGAACCCAGCTTCCCAGGCTCTTGTTTTCTGTGTCTGAACTTGATTCTGTTTCTGTCTCCTCAGTGAACGTCGTGGAGGCCCTTCAGGAGTTCTGGCAGATGAAGCAGTCGCGTGGCGCCGATCTGAAAAACGGAGCTCTCGTGGTGTACGAGATGGTCCCTTCCAACAGCCCCCCCTACGTCTGCTACGTCACCTTGCCGGGAGGGAGCTGCTGGCCGATTCTATGCTGTTCTGTTTCTGGATGCGGCCGCTCCCGGCGGGTGATACCTGAGGAACCCAGCTTCCCAGGCTCTTGTTTTCTGTGTCTGAACTTGATTCTGTTTCTGTCTCCTCAGTGAACGTCGTGGAGGCCCTTCAGGAGTTCTGGCAGATGAAGCAGTCGCGTGGCGCCGATCTGAAAAACGGAGCTCTCGTGGTGTACGAGATGGTCCCTTCCAACAGCCCCCCCTACGTCTGCTACGTCACCTTGCCGGGAGGGAGCTGCTTTGGCAGTTTCCAGGTACGGTCGCTTGGGCGGAGGCTCTCCCTGCGGGGCGGCTCGCTCTCCAGAGCAGCGCCCTGAGAACCTGTCCCCAGCAGAATTAGTGCTCAAATACCTTCCTGCGGTGGGCACAGCCTTAACGTTTTCCTGCTGATCTGAAGCGTGAGAATGACAAGGGTCTGACTGTAACCCTCTTTAACGTCACGCTGGCTGTTAACGTTCCTAATTGCCTATGAAACGCCGCCCCGCTTCAGTGCGGGAAGGTTTGGCTGTAAATTTTACTTTGCTGTACGTGCTGCATTCCCTACACATGACTGACTTGGACCTCAGCAGGGCTGAGGTAAGATACGTGGTATCGGAGAAAGCTGTTAGATTGGTTGGTTTTGATACTTCGTTCTCCTTCCCGGGATTAAGCAGTGGGAGGTATTTACAGGATGCGGCTCGGACAAGCTGGTAGAGTAATATTTCCTTGCGAGGGCTCTGGGTTCGACCCAGAACCTCTTCTCAATATGCCAAAAAGACCCTAGAAATCAAATCGTAACACTGGATCGATAGTTTCTCCCCTCTTTCTGTTCGAAAGGAAGATGTCCAACCCAAATACCTCACCCGAAAGGTTAAGGTCCAAAAATCACAACGGGTCCTGACTGCGTTTCGGATTCCTTTGCTGTAGTGGCTTTAGGCAGTTACTCTCTAGTCTTGGTTTGAAGATCGTATCCAAAAGAAACAGTTCTGGCAGCTACACGGTCTACCCATCCTGAAGAGCAGTCCTGGTGCTTAAGAGTGATTTGGTTATGTTTTCGTTTTAAGCGAATTAATTTTGTTGACGATCTGATCGGCGGCGTTTCCTGATGGAGATACTATGTGCTGAGTTCAGCTGCCTGCCTAATTTTTGTGTTTAGCATGGTTGGGATAGCTGTGGTTTAAAACCAGCTCCTAATGATTTCAGGATGTCTGAGAGCACGACTTTCCAAAACTACACAACACTGCCACCTAATTCCCATTTCGTGTGTCGGGGGGGAGAAGTTTGGAGCATGGGGCCGAAGGGAATCTTGCTCATCTCGCTGTCTTTCTGTCCTGATGGTGTCTGTCTCTCCTCAGTTCTGTCCGACCAAGGCCGAAGCCCGAAGGAGCGCGGCGAAGATTGCGCTCATGAACTCGGTCTTTAATGAGCATCCCTCCCGGAGGATCACAGATGAGTTCATTGAGAAGAGTGTTTCGGAGGCCCTGGCATCTTTCAACGTAAGGCTTTTCCGTGCCCAGACGGCTGCAGTTGATGGGGACGGATTGACGGGGGGGGGGAAAACCTCAAATCACGGGAAGAGAAGTTTTCTTTTACATCTGGAACTCTTTATGGCAGGTTTTTTTCAGCAACTTCTGAGTATTAAAACTTTTAACTATAGCCCTAGTTCTCGTTCTCCTGCTTCCCCTCCCACACCGTCTCACACTCTTCTCGAGTTTGATTGTGCTGCCCTCAGATCAGGCGGGGCAGGATAATAAGACTGAGATGTTGATTCACACGGCCCTTCTGTGACCGGGTTGTCACGTTGGCTAGCTTTCGTTAAACCAAATGTTTTCCAGAAACTTTAGTTTCTAGGGGCGGGAGCTTTGCATTCTTCTTTTACCGCTCTAATTATACCTCATCCTGGAGGGAGTTCTTGCTGTGCAGTCACATGGCAGTACCC